TCAGACTTCTTTATGGTCCAACTCTCACATCTGTACATTACCACTGGAAAAACCAGAGCTTTGACTATATAGAACTTTGTCAGAAAAATGACATCTCTCCTTTTTAATATGCTGCCTAGGTTTGTCATTATTTTTCTTCCAGGGGGCTTTTAATTTTATGGCTAATGTCAGCACCCACAGTGATTTTGGAGCCCAAGAAAATAAAATCTGTCACTGCTTCCACTGTTTCCCCATCTATTTGCCATGAAGTAATGGGACCAGATGCCATGATCTTAGTTTTTTTAATGTTGAGCTTCAAGTTGGCTTTTTCACTCTCCCCTTTCACCCTCATCAAAAGACTCTTTAGTTCCTCTTCCCTTTCTGCCATAAGGGTGGCATCATCTGCATACATGAGGTTATTAATATTTCTCCCCAAATCTTGTTTCCAGCTTGTGATTCATCCAGCTTGGCGTTTTGTGTGATATACTCTGCATGTAATATAGATAAGCATGGTGACAATATACAGCCTTAATGTGCCTCTTTCCCAGTTTTGAACCACTCTGTCATTCCATATCCAATTCTAACTGTTGCTTCTTGGCCTGCATACAGGTTTCTCATGAGGAAGATAAGGTGGTCTGGTATTGCCAACTCTTTAAGATGTATCCACAATTTTTGGTGATCCAAAATGCCAAAGGCGTGAGCCTAGTCAATAAAGCAGAAGTAGATGTTTTTCAGGAATTCTTTTGCATTTTCTGTGATCCAATGGATGTTGGCAATTTGATCTCTGGTTCCTCTGCCTTTTCCAAATCCATCTTGTATATCTGCTATTGAAACTTAACTCGAAGGATTTTGAACTTTACCTTGCTAGCATGTGACACGAGCACAATTATGTGGTAGTTTGAACATTATTTGACACTGCCCTTCTTTAAGATTGGAAAGAAAACTGACCTTTTCCACTGCTGAGTTTTCAAAATTAGCTGCCATATTGAGTGAAACACTATAACAACATCATCTTTTAGCATTTGAAATAACTTAGCTGGAAATCCTTCACCTCCAATAGCTTTGATCATAGTAATGCTTCCTAAGGCCCGCTTGACTTCACACTCCAGGATGTCTGGCTCTAGGTGAGTGAACATACTGACCTGGTTATCCAGGTCATTAAAATCTTTTTTGTATAGTTCTTCTGTGTATTCTTGCCACTTTTTCTTAATCTCTGCTTATGTTAGCTCCTTACAGTTTCTGTCTTTTCTGCAGTCATCTTCACATGAAATGTCCCCTTGGTATTTCTAATTTTCTTGAAGAGATCTCTAGTCTTTCTCATTCTATTGTTTTAATCTATCTCTTTGAATTGTTCACTTATGAAGGTGTTCTTATCTCTCTTTGGTGGTCTTCAGAACTCTGCATTCAGTTGCCTGTATATTTCCCTTTCTCCTTTGCCTTTCACTTCTCTTCTTTTCTCAGGTATTTGTAAGGCCTCCTCAGACAACCATTTTGTCTTCTTGCCTTTCTTTTCTTGGGGATGGTTTCAGTCACTGCCTACTGCACAATATTATGAACCTCCATCCACAGTTCTTCAGGCACTCCGAGTCAGATCTAATCTCTTGAATTTTTTGTCACTTTCATTGTATAACCATAAGGGATTTGATTTAGGTCATGTCTGAATGGCCTAGTAATTTTCCCTACTACAGGGAGGAACCACAGTCCCACCCATTAGCAGAAAATTGGATAAAAGATTTACTGAACATGGCCCTGCCCACCAGAGCAAGACTCAGTTTCCCCCACAGCCAGTCCCTCCCATCAGGTAGCTTGCACAAGCCTCTTATCCTCATCCATCACAAGGCAGACAGAATGAGCAAGAATTTCAATCCCATGGCCTCCAAAATGAAAACAACAATCACAGAAAAGTAACCAAAATGGTCACATGGATCACATCCTTGTGTAACTCATGAAACTATGAGTCATGCCATACATGGCCCCCAAGATGGATTAGTCATGGTGGAGAGTTCCAACAACACTTGGCTCACTAGAGAAGGGAATAGCAAACCACTTAGAATTCTTGCTTTGAGAACCCCATGAACAGTATGAAAAAGCAAAAAAGATATGACCCTAAGAGATGACTCCAACAAGACAGTAGGTGTCCAATATGCTACTAGGGAAGAGTGGAGAAATACAACCTGAAAGAATGATGAGGCTGAGCCAAAGCAGAAATGACACCTAGTTCTGGATGTGTCTGGTGGTGAAAGTAAATCTGATGCTTTAAAGAACAGTATTGCATAGGAACCTGGAACATTAGGTCCATGAATCTAGGTAAGTTGGATTTGGTCAAACAGAAGATAGCAAGAGTGAATACAGATTTTTTAGGAATCAGTGAACTAAAATAGATGGGAATAGGTGAATTTAATTCAGATAATGATTATATCAACTACTGTGGGGAAGTATCCCATAGACGAAATGAAGTAACCCTCATAGTCAACAAAAGAGACCAAAATGCAGTACTTAGGTGCAATCTCAAAATGACAAAAGGTGCTTGGTCCAATTCCAAGGTAAATCATTCAATATCACAATAATCTAAGTCTATGCCCCAACCACAAATGCAGGATAAGCTGAATTTGAATGTTCTCTGAGGACCTCCAAGACTTTCTAGATCTAACACCAAAAAAAGATGTCCTTTTCATCATAGGGGACCGGAATGCACAAGTAGGAAGTCAAGAGATACCTGGAGTAACAGGCGAGTTTGGCCTTGGGGTACAAATGAAGCAGGGCAAAGGATAACAGAGTATTACCAAGAGAACACTCTGGTCTTAGCAAACACACTCTTTCAACAACCCAAGACCTGTTCTCTAGGAGTTGGATAAAGCAACAAAATGGATTTCCCCTACAAACTCCAGGAAAGACCACAAGCCTGCTGGCACTTTGATTTTAGACCTCAGAACTGTATTTTGAATTTCTGACCTCCAGATATGCAAACAAATACCTTGGTGTTGCTTCAAAGTACAAAGTTTTTGGTCATTTGTTATAGCAACAGCGTTAACTAAGACATTTATGGTTCATGTCAGCCCCACCTCCATCTGCTTCATCATGATTTTTACTCTCTGCTGGAATGTTCCTCTGACCTCAGAGGCAGGTGGTCATCTCCCCAAACACAAGAACTTCATCTCTTGATTCCACTTTCTTCCTTAGTGACTGACCAATTCTGTGGTCCTCATTACAGCAAAGTCTTTGAAAACTGTGTATACTCTGTTCTACATTGGTCTCTTCACATCATTTCTTGAACCAACTTTACTTAAGGTTTGCCTTCACTACTCTATCAAAGCTGCACTTGATCCTGCCAAGGTTAACTGCTGAATCCAGTGATCCATTTTCAATCTTCTCTTACTTGACCCATTGAAAGCACTGGACTCTTTTCTCCTGCAAACACTTACTTCACATGCCTTCTAAGAACAGTCTCTCCTACCTCACTCACTGATCCTTTTCAGCCTCTTTTGCTGGTTCCTTCAGTTTTGGGGGTTTTTTGTTTGTTTGTTTGTTTTGTTGTTGTTTTAAGCATTTTCTTGATGCTTATTTTCATAAAGCTTGACTTCCCTGTCCACAACCACTCACTGTATAATGTATTATCTCTGACTGGTTAGTTTCATGGCTTTAAGAGGCTATATTTGACAAATTTCAGATATGAATATTTTGTCTAAACCTTTTCTCTAATTTACTTGCATGTCCAACTCTATGCATACATCTCTACTTGGATATGTAAAGGCATTTGAAAGATATGTATCTATAACTGAACTCATGATCTTCCCACAAAAATTAGATTCCCCGAATTGTCTCCATCTGAGAAAATGGTATCTGCATTTCCTGTCACTTAAACACAAACACCTGGAGTCAACTTTGATTCCTCTTTACCTTTCACCATAGGTCCAACATGTTAGCAGTCTAATTAATGCTGCCCCTAAAATAAGCTCCTATTCCAATACTTCTGGCCATCTTTACTGATCCTTCTGTGGTTCCAGCCAACATCACCTCTCATCTAAATTCCTGTAGAGTCCTAAAAAAAGGGCTCTTTTTACTCTTTTTTTTCTAAACATAACAACCAGAGTGATTTTTTTGAAAATAAGTCAGCTCATGTAACTATTGTGCCCAAAACCAAAATATCATTCTCCACTTCTCTCAGAGTAAAGACCTCTCAAAAACCTACATGACACGGACCCCATTGCCCCACTGGCTCTTCAGCTTGTTGTCAACTCCTGTCTTCTTCCCTTACTAAACTCCACCCACATCAGCCAATTGCTTGCCCTCAAATGTTACATGAACACTCTTCCTTCCTTGACTTAATGTTTTCTGTTCCAGAGAAATGCAAGGAGCCACTGTCTCTATGTTTCAAGGCTGTTTCTTGTACAAATGAAAAGTTATGTGGGATGAAGGGTAGTTGGTGTGTCTGCCTAACAGATGGACAGAAATGTGAGAGATTGTGCAGGATTTTCTCAACAGGCACTTACCCATTTCTAACATCTCCTGATGACATTCACTGTACCATCCTCCACTAGACTATAAACTCAAGGATTTCTCATTTAGTTAATATTTATTGATAAAACGATGTCTTACTAAAGAATGTTCAATAATGTTTTGCTGAATGAATGAGTGAATGACAACCAGTGAATAAATGGCAAAATATATAAGTATTTATTGAAATGTTAATCATGGCCAGACAGTTAAGAAATTAAAGAAATTAATCATATGTGCTGCTTTACAGAGAGCAAAATATAATACTGGATTTTTTAAATCATATTTTAACTTACCAAGATGATTATGCTAAGTTGAAAAGTATACAACCTGTAGATCGAAGATTATTTGTCTTTGTAAATAATCATGCACACAAATTTGTATAGGATTCTATAAGGAAAATGTACCAAAGTATATATAATGGTGAATTACAGCTTATCTTTATTTTCTATCATTTCTCTTTTACTTTCCAAATTTCCTGTATTTTTTTTTAATTATCAGAAAAAAAGAACATTCTTATTTTGAAGTTTTAATTGTTTCATAAACTTTATTTTTTTTCACAAGGCATTTTTGAAACTTCAGACACTTCTTTCAAGCACCTTCACCACTTACAAAAATCCTCTTCACAGCCCCAGAAGCAACAAATTCTTGAAGAACCACAGTGAGACCCGAGAATCAATATTCTTCAAGAAATGGATATTCAGGGTGACTGACACCACTGAAAGAGAAGGAGGAGGATTCATTTATTAATTCTGTCATGTTGTCAAAGAGAGCATTACTCTGTGAGTGCAGTCAGGATGGGCTAAAATTCAATATCTACAAACACATCCCTCCTTCTCCCCCAACAAACACACATCAGGTGTCTGCTCCATGTGCACATGTCACCTGCATGTCCAGTCCCAACAGTTACGTGTAATTGTCACTCCACAGTGACAGGTAGTTTGACTCAGGTTACAGTTTTAAAAGGGTGCAAGACCTGGGGCTAACTCTGGAGATCATTTCAGCCCCTTCATGGAACTTCTGTCCCTAGATGATGAGAAGGATCATAGCGAACAAATTAGCTGCTCTTCTTTTGCACATCCATGGATAAGCAGATACTGAGCACCCCAAAAAATACAGACTGTCTCCATTAAGGAAATTCTAATCTATTGAAGAGATACCACAGTCACCTGAATAATCATACAGCAGAAATTGGCATTGATATTTTCTTAATTTATGATGTGTTAAAACATTGGTTACTCAGTAATTAGTATAACTATTGTTTTCTTTTTTTCCATGTTTCTACTTTTCTTTCTAAACTTGTCCTTTTCAATTCAATTCATTAAAGAGTGCATTCTGAGCAATTCCAAGTGCCAGGAGCTGTGCTGTTGACCTGAGCCCACAAAGAAGAATAAGTCTAGGCATTCACAGCCTAATGAAGGAGAAGATAGAATTATACTTGAAAGTCTTTAAGGACACAAAAGTAAGTTTCCACCTTCTTTTTAATTTATCATGTATTTTATCAGAGTTGTGATATAGTTTTATAGATAATAGGGAGAGTTTTGAGATCTTTCCCTTCAAACAAAATCTTCACTGAACCAATAATTTGCATTCCCTCCTCTCTAAACGCTCTTCCAAATTTCTCTTCTGTCTCTTCAATCCTGACATTCTCCTGCAGTAATGAGGCAGCTGGAATTCTGTGTTAGTGACTAAGTCAAAGTTAAGCAGATGGGGGCTCCCCAGGGGATGGACTTCTGCTGGACAAAGGCTAAACTGCAGTGTCTTGACTCAAGAAACCAGAGAGACCCAGATGATCTTACCTGAGTGTGTCCTGTTAAGGACACAGCAGTCTCTCACTGGAGGGTCAGTATAGCTCATGATCTACTGGTAATTCAGCTTTGTGAGATAACAAGGATGAGGACATTGGAATTGTAATAGGGAAAAAAGATCAATGAAGAGATTAATTTGAAAGAAATGGATTGTGTCCTGGAGAAGAAATGCCCCTAAGGGAGAAAATTCACCAGACCCTTAGGAGATGGGGTGGAAGCAGGCCCGTGTGATTTCTCAAAACTGTTGCAGGTTGGCCTTCGTGGGACCTCCCTCCATAAAAAAGTATAAACAAGATGTTTTATCATTGTGTTAGGAATAACGTGAATGGGGGCTTTCCAGGTGGTCTGTGTAAAGGATCCACCTGCCAAGTAGGAGACATGGGTTCAGTGATTGCAAGATAACTTGGAGAAGCAAATGGCAAATCACTCCAGTATTCCTGCCTGGACCCTGGAGCCTAGCAGGCTACAGTCCGTGGGTCCCAAGAGTTGGATACAACTAAGCAACTAAACAATGGGGAATACATGTAAATCCATGGCTAGTTCATTTCAATGTATGACAAAAACTACTGTAATGATGTAAAGTAATTAGCCTCCAACTAATAAAAATAAATGGAAAAAAAAAGAAACTATATCACAAGCTCAAAAAAAATAAAATAAATAAATAAAATGTTATAAAAGAAAAAAAAAGAAAAGTTTCTTTGTATTAATATTGAAATATCTTTGGAAAATAAAGTGAAAGCAAGCTAGATAAATGAGACTGGCCTCATTTTGGTTAAATAAGGAAATAATATATGTCAATAGGAAAAAAAAAACATGAATGTAATCCAGAAAGGATTCATTATTTTCAGTTTTTATTAATATAAACATTTTATCCTGATGTAAAAAGAAATATGTTTTCAGGTCCCTGTAAGAATAGTGGGCTGCTGGCACTGTGCCCTGTGTTTACTGGGTTCCTCGGCCCTGAGAGGAGGTGCACCAGGCACAGGGATTAGGGCACAAAGTAGTGAGATCACCACGATGTCAACTCTGAGGATTTTACTGAAGGGCTGTCCTAGGTCCCAATCATTTCTGTTGGTCAGAGACAGAGACCAGGAGGAAACCTCTGGTTTGAGGTCTGCAGAAGACTCTGGTTGGCTCCTATGCTGGAATCAGGACTGTCTTCTTAGAATCAAGTTTTTAAAAAGCTTAGTTGCCCTACTGATCTGCCTGCTACAGGAAAAAAAAAATACATGTGTGTGAAACATCTGCAAATTACTTACAGTAGAAATTTGTAATATCTTATATTTCTATTGATGCCATCGATTGCTTTCATGTCTTCTGGAGTCAGTTCAAAGTCAAACACCTGGAAGGAAAGAAGAATCATATTCACCTCTCTGCCAAGAAGACAGCCTCCCCCTGGGGACTGGAGGACTTTCCAGCTGGATGGGGACAAGAAGAGGGGAGAGGGAAGCCGTGTCTGTCCTCTGCTTCCAGGTGAACAAGCCTGTGACCCTCTGCTGAGTTCTCACCTCTCCTTCCCACACCTCCTTCTCTGTCTGCCTCACAAACATTACAGTGCATCAGTCCCTTATCTTTCTAAGTGAATCACTTCAGACAGAAAAGAAATGTACTCATTTGTCTTTGGACATTCTTGCCTCAATACCTGCACCTGAACAAACATTAGACTGCTTCACGCTCCCCAACACACCCTAAGTGTGACAGCATTGCACTGAAGCCATGTGGGGAGGAGTCTTCCTTGCAAAAGCCTATCCAAGAATTTGATATCAAACTTACTCTTTATCTATGAATAAATCTAAAAGAAAATTTATGTAAATGCCTTTGTAGATAAATTTATGAAAAGTGTAAACATTAAAGAGCACCTAAAATATTAATAATTCACATCACAATCATGAAATGGATAGTTGAGTTTATAAAGAAATTTGTTTTCTCTGAAGTGACCTAGTGTTTCAGTGCAACATGAATCAAAGACTGACATACATATTTTCTTATAGAAGTCAGTAAAGTGATACCAAATTTTAAATAAAAGAAGAACTAATAAAAAGTAGCCAAGACATTCTTCAGTTCAGTTCAGTCGCTCAGTCGTGTCCGACTCTTTGCAACCCCATGAACCGCATCATGCCAGGCCTCCCTGTCCATCACCAAATCCCGGAGTCCACCCAAACCCATGTCGAGTCAGTGATGCCATCCAATCATCTCATCCTCTCTCGTCCCCTTCTCCTCCTGCCCTCAGTCTTTTACAGCATCAGGGTCTTTTCCAATGAGTCAGCCCTTCACATCAGGTGGCCAAAGTATTAGAGCTTTGGCTTCAACATCAGTCCTTCCAATGAATATTCAAGGTTTATTTCCCTTAGGACAGATTGATTTGGTATCCTTGCTGTCTTAGCTTTCCATTTAGTAAATAAATATATATGTAACCATTTTCATATTATATTGGAAAACCAATTCTAGGTGTATTGCAGGGCCAAGTTTGAATGGAAACACAGAAACAAGGTTTTAGGGGACCATACACTTGACCTTGACTTAGATGGATCTTTAACATTGGACAGTGAACTTTGCCAGAATTGATAAGTCAGTTCTGAGTCTAGAAATGAAGAGTATTATTTTTTCCATTCACTGACTATGGATCATAGTACTGTGCTGAGGTGATAACTAGGTTAGTTGACCACAGTCTAGCCAAATATATATGTAAAACTACATGAATAAGCTTGCAGGTTCCTCTGACAAGAGTCATATCCACCTGCTAAAGCAGAGCTGCTGAGCTGCTCTGCACAGAGCTGCAAAAGCATGAACAAAACCAGCTATGAGGACAGCAGCTAAGCTGAGTTCAGGCTGATTGTCAAAACACAGAATCAAGAGACACAGAAATAATCTCTGCATTAAATTCTGAAAGTGGGGAGAGTTTCCTGTATAGCTGTGACTAAGGGTACAATAATGGTCTCCTACAAATAAATCAAAAGAGAAACAACCTAGCTAAAGTGTACAAAGTCTTGAAAAGGAGCTTCACAAAGAGAAACTCAAGAAGATTAAATGTATATAGATGAAACCCTATAATATTCAGGGAAAGGCAAAATAAAACCATGATGATTTGGGGGTTAAAGATTGCTGCTATAGTATTTGTGCCCCCAAACTTCCAAATACGAAAAGGAGTACATCAAGGCTGTATACTGTCACCCTGCTTATTTAACTTATAAGCAGAGTACATCATGAGAAATGCTGGGCTGCAAGAAGCACAAGCTGGAATCAAGATTGCCGGGAGAAATATCAATAACCTCAGATATGCAGCTGACATCACTCTTATGGCAGAAAGTGAAAAAGAACTAAAAAGCCTCTTGGTGAAAGAGGAGAGTGAAACAGTTGACTTAAAACTCAACATTCAGAAAACTAAGATTATATCATCTGGTCCCATCACTTCATGGCAAATAGATGGGGAAACAGTGGAAACAGTGGCTGACTTTATTTTGGGGGGCTCCAAAATCACTGCAGATTGTGACTGCAGCCATGAAATTAACAGATGCTTACTCCTTGGAAGGAGTTATGACCAACCTAGACAGCATGTTAAAAAGCGGAGACATTACTTTGTCAACAAAGGTCTGTCTAGTCAAAGCTATGGTTTTTTCAGTAGTCATGTATGGATGTGAGAGTTAGACTGTAAAGAAAGCTGAGTGCTGAAGAGTTGATGCTTTTGAACTGTGGTGTTGGAGAAGACTCCTGAGAGTCCCTTGGACTCCAAGGAAATCCAACCAGTCCATCCTAAAGGAGATCAGTCCTGGGTGTTCATTGGAAGGACTGATGCTGAAGCTGAAACTCCAATACTTTGAACACCCGATGCTAAGAGCTGACTTAATTGAAAAGAGCCTGATGCTGGGAAAGATTGAGGGCAGGAGGAGAAGGGGACGACAGAGGATGAGATGATGGCATCACCGACTCAATGGACATGGGTTTGGGTGGACTCCGGGAGTTGGTGATGGACAGGGAGGCCTGGCGTGCTGCTGTTCGTGGGGTCGCAAAGAGCCGGACATGACTGAGCGACTGAACTGAACTGAACTGAACTAAGGCTTATTCTTTGTTTCCCGCAATTATTACTTTTCCTTCTCTGAACTGTGGAGGCTATAAAACAATAATCTAAACACTCCAAGAAGACTCTTTTTCTTAGGAAAGACAGTTACATTTTCTATAGTTTTTGAGGAGAGAGATACAACAAAATTCCACACTTTTAAAAGAAGTTTATTGAAAAAAAGAATGATATTCTGTGAAGGAAACCTTAGATGTATTTTGCTAAAACCAATGGCATCAACTTTATAGATTTTGAAAGTTTCAGATTGTCATATGTTGCTTTGAATTTCACTTTAAAAAATAATATATGCTTCCATGTTTATTGCCAGTTTTTGGTATTTCACTGAAAAGATGAAAGAGGGTATATTGTATGATACTAGTCAAATGCTTTGTTAAACCAGCAAATTATTTAATCTTTTTAGAAGAACAGATGCATTCAAATAATGAACAAGTTAGTAATATTATCTCTTTTACTACTAACATAATTTCTAATGAATTTGCTCTAAAAGTCTTACTCCAGACAATTAGAGATATGGAAAGTCAACAGTGTATCATGTATAAGCACAGGCAATGCACACACATTGTGTGTGTGCATGATTATGGGAATAAGATGTCATGTTTGAAAGAATGAGAAGAACGCAGTTGTCTTTGTATCAATATTTTACCAATATTTTATACTACAGAAACAAATAACTGTTGATAAAGTAGTGTTAAAATCAAATGCAAAAGAAAATCAGACTTCTAAATGCCCTGAGCAGATAAAAATCGGTTTACTTCTAGAAGCAAAGCTTAATTTATCTTATTTTGCAAGAAAACAATAATAACTTGACCCAGGTATGTTAATGCTTATGCCCCTGAAAATCTTAAGCAAAACTTAAATTGCTCCTCAATATTGCTATGAAGTAACTGCTAACCGATTCTCTTTCATTTAAGGAAATCCTAATATTTAAACCAATTGCCGTGAAGAATAAATAGTCACTTCCTCCATACTTTACAAGTTGCTTTATAATGTTATACCTCTGAGCCTCATTCTGTGTTTTGGCTTGAGTGTTCCTTATCTGCAGACAGCCTTTATGGTGTGTGTACAGTAATTTCTATAATTACTACCTCAGTGATTCATTGCTTTTACTTTTTTCCTGAACTTTTGACAGTAAAATAGGCTGTAAAATTTATGAGCTTACATGTTTTTGTTTTATTATATCACAAGATCTGAAGCACAAAAATAATACATACCTGTGTATACATGCTCAGTAACTCGGTCATGTCTGACTCTTTGCATCCGCATGGACTGTAGCCCACCAGGCTCCTCGATCCATGGCATTTCCCAGGCAAGAATACTGGAATGGGTTGCCATTTTCTACTCCAGGGTATCTTCTTGATCCAGGGATCAACCTGCGTCTCTTGCACTGGCAGTTGAATTCTTTACCATTGTGCCCCCTGGAAAGCCCAATATATATTTACTGAATGACAAATTAGAGATATGGTATATTGTTTGAAAACGTTTCTCTATAGTAGACTGCATATTAAGATGAAAGAGGATAGTAGTACTAGGGGAAAAAAAAACCCTGAATTTTATTTATTCATAGTTGGTTTCTCCAAGAACGTCCTGACAAGTATTGCGATTAGCAGTCGAACTATGATTAGCAGTCAAACTAGTAAAGTACTTATAGATATGCAAATGTGTTCATTCAACAAAGGAAAACAGCACTAAGACCTCTGAAAGAATTTCCATGTATTTTTTTTGTTGTTGTTGCCAGAGATAGACAAGGTACCAAGTGAAATTAGTAAGACTGAGTAGAATGGCCTTTAAAATAATAAGAATAAAAGCAAAATCATATGCTATCACCCAGAATTGTGTTATAATTAAATTTACTGGTGCAGAAAATTTACTTTGGGGATTAATATCAACTTCT